AAGTTATTTCTTAGTTAATGCTATCTTCCTGCATGGCAAACACATACAGAAAGCAATAGAAATGACTTTACTTTAAAACCACAATCTCCTTTTATCGGCATAATAAAATATTTTACCTAACAGCAGGGGCAGTTGATCTTCATGGGACCTGGAGTTTTCTGGTATTGCTTTCTGCACCAGAAATTTCTGGGGTTCATTTCTTGTTTGCATAAGTTAGAACTCACTCAGAGCCTGATTTAAGTTTTAAAAATAGAGTAAACTGAGTGTAAGGTAAATATTTCCAATTCAGTGTATGAATACTTAGAATTGAGAAGAATTTTAGAAACATTTTGTTTTTTTTAAAACCTAACATTTGTCCGTTGATCTACTTTACTGAAGCTGCTTCGGTCATTACATACGGGATAGGTATAACATTATATAACACTGACAAACCCCCAAAAGGAATACCTAATGCAAGTGAAACTATTAATATAAGGGGGAGGGTCACATTGGCTTCATTTGATTTGAATTTAGAGAAAAGGCTGGTGTTGGTACACTTATGAAATATACTATATAGTTATTTGGAACCACCAGAAAGCATCTTGAAGTTCAGGGACCTCAGAGTTTTTTGTTGACTTGGGTTTTTTTGTGTGTGGGGGGAGTGGTTCCTACTTGAAAAACAAGACATCAATTGCTGGGAACGCTTCTAGTTGTAGTGAAAGACTTACTTCCTCGTGGCTTAGCATAAAAGTGCTGGGTGCTGAGTTGATCGTTGCTGCTTGTAACAGTATTTTGTGCTTTATGTGCAAGTACAGAAATACAGATGTTCAGATTCAGCTTAATATCTGATTGAGAGAGCATCCAATAACTTTTTTTTTCAGTGGACTTGAGTGTTTCTGTCACTCTTGTGACTTGAGGTTCACATTTCATAAAATATTCTGGTAATACCCAGTTCTCTTGTTATTTTGAAAACAAAACGCTGAGAAAACCCAAACACATCATACAGAGATACCCTTCCAACCTTTTTCAAGTTTCATTGCCTTCCAAAAAGCAGTTGCTGTGTGCATGTCATTAAAATTGTCTTCAATGCCCGGAGAGACTGTCCTGGCTTCCCAGAGTGCTGTTCAATTCATAGCACTTAAAGAAGTGGTACAAGAGTGTACTGGGTAAAGTAATTCATTGGTAAGCACAAAAGGATGCTTGTGCTGTAACAGCTCAACAGGGATAATTATCAGGCCCTTAATTACTTCTGTTTAGGTTTTCTGAGGATGGATAGAACACTAGACAAAAGCTTTAGTGCCCAAAATTAGGGTACAAATGGTCATTTGTGTTGCATCATTTAATTTAGTAGCTTGACTTTTTAGAGTTGCAGTAGTTTGCAATGAAGTCTAAGTTCTGGTTTATGCTTTATTTACATGTGTAGATACAGATTTAGACGCGTTAACCTTTTTAAAAGGCTTTGCCTAGAGTGGCTAAATTTTTAATTGATTTCATTTTCTATCACGGCTGCTGTTCAACATTTTACGCCCTCAGAGTATTCTATTAAGGATTTGCAGCTATATATAGAAAGTTCAATGGCTAGCTCCAGCTTTGTCCTGCTTCACTTGCTGATTATGAACTCAAAAGCAATAAGTAAATTAGTGCCTCCTATAATATGATGATCGCACTGTCTGTGATCCATCTAGCGCTACTGACCTCTTTAGATACCCTGCCTTGCACAATTTAAAAGACAAAATCCTTCACCTTTATCACAGAATACTTTATTTACAGCTGTGAGGCACTTTGCAGGGGATACTGGTAGCACCCAACTGCCGATGCTTACCTCGGCCCTCCGAGTTAGCTGGCATCCCTTCAGTCTCATTCAGTGAAGAGAAACTCAGAGGAGGTGATACAGGGTAGGAAAATGGATGATCTCAACAATCCTGTCTTACCTATCTGTTGAAAGATCTTAGTGGGCTGTGTGGCTACAATGCGTCCCAAAGTGCAGTTGCAAAATCATATCTGTGGTGGGGTGAAAGATCTGTGCAATTCACGTTTTATTAACATGAATTTAATAGCACCGAGGCAACGGCAGTATTAGTCAAAGTTCAGGTGACAGGGTGATGCAAGAATGATGAGGTATGTACCAGTTTTTGGATAAAGATCTTGGGCACTGTGAGAAATCATCAAAAAAGAACGAGCCTGGCAGCTCCTCAGAGCTGAGTGGTGAACACAAGGATCATCTGGCAGTGTGAGCAGCAGATCTACTTTGAGTGGAGGTTTGGGTGCTGTTGACAAAGCTAGACAGCAAGTATTGTTGTCTGGAGAATTTTAACTTCTAAATAGTGATTACTGTACTAACAATTGAAAGTGTGAAAACTTAGCAATATAGACATCCCTGCATCCCTCTGGTATAGCCCAGGCTCTGAATGTTTGTAAATCCTGATCTTATTTCTTTCTGGACGCAGTGACATTGGAATTGGCCAGTCTCAGGATGACAGCATTGTGGGGCTGAGGCAAACGAAGCACATTCCTCCTGCTTTACCTGTCAGTGGAACCCTGTCATCCAGTAATCCTGATCTACTGCAGTCTCATCACCGCATCTTAGACTTCAACACTACTCCAGGTAAAGATCCTTGTTTGTTGTTCTTGACCTTGTAATTTCCTTTTATTGATCTCTTTCATCTTTTTATATCTTTTTTTCCTCTGTACTTCCAGAGTCTGAAGATGCATGCGAGTATGCTGTCACCCATAGATAGCTACATCTTAGTGCATTAGGATTTATTACATTTGCTCCAACATACTTTACCCAAATGTACTTAGATGTCTATTTTTCAAGTATGTTTTATACAGAGTGCCTCTTACTGATTGAATACTCCTGGCCAGTGAGAACTCATTTTGCTCAGTATTTTATAATTGGCCCTGATAGATCAGGCTGTACAAGACCTGCCGTATTTTCAAATAGCACAGTAGATAATTAGCTTACCGAAAAGCGAAAGGGCATTGGGCTGGGACACAGGACATGCGTTTCAGTCTTTTTTTGAACAGACTTCTGTAATCTTGTACTACTTCTGTAAGGGAGAGAGTTTCAAAGTTCCCTGTTAGTCACCCTGCCCTACAGCTTAAGGTGAATTCTTTGTATTTAAAGTGATTTAAAATCCCATCCTGAAATACCTAAAAAAAAAAAAACCAAAAAAAAACACATTTAGCAGAGAGAACAAATCATGGGAGTGAGTGAGGAGGAAAAGGGGGAGAATATGAGAAACCTGAGAGCCATATCTTATAAGAAGGGTTTAACCGTAGCTCCTGGCGGGGCTGGGATTTGGTCTTTTATCTGGCTGCAGGAAGGTTCTTAGTGGGAAACCTTCTCTGAGTTAAGTATCCACATCTTTGCTGTTAAAACGTAGCTGCTGGAGGAAGATATGGTGATGGTAGCTGTGCAGACACTTGGTTATTTTCGGCTAATTTTTAGAGTATTTCTCAAAAGTAGAACCAAAAATGCAGTGCCTTCCTAAGCCTGGGGGATTTCAAACCTTACCTAAAGGGCAGTGCTTAAACATTAGACTACGTACTCTCTGAGTTGGTGCAATATTCACACTTGAAACTGTGATACTGAACATTGCTTCATCCAGGTTTTTGGGGGCTAAAGAAGACTACAAGAAGGTGGTCTGTGATTTTTGTCCCAGTGTCTAAAATTGCTCCTGAGAGAGTGTGAAGCCTGGTATTTTTTTGTATTTTATTTAACGACAAGTGTCCAACACTTTGAAGATATTCTTTATCAATAAGAGCCTAACTTATTATCAGCACTTCATCTATAAATGGGTGAAGATTCCATTCTTCAACTTGCCATTTACCTAGACCAGACAGTTGTAGGTAATTAATGTGCCCCTAATGCAGAGCACAGGGGCCGTTTACCTTCCGGAGCTGCGGGCATCACTGTCTCGCACAGCTCAAACAAACTCCATTAATTGAGAAGGAGAGCCATTACAGGTCTGAACATCCTTCGGTCACAGATGGAGTTCAGAGAAGTTTAATAAGTGAATAATGTTCTACTGTTTGCCTTTTGCTTTGAGGAAACAAGATAAATAATGTTGTAATGCCAATGCTTCAGTGTCATAGCAGCTTTTCTGTTATTTTCATAGCAAATTTATTAAGTATTTAGTGCTTTCTCGTTAAAAAAAAAAAAAGCAGCTTTTTTTTTTCTTCTTCTTTGCTTAAAATTTGCCCAAATGTCCACACACTGAATATTTTTAAAGTAATTTGCAGGTGTAATTTTCCGTGCGTGGGAAGGAGGGAAAAGAGGGGCTGAAATAAAAAACATATACCTTAAGGGCTTTGGGGATGGTTGCATTGTACATAGAAGAGTTGAATTATACCTCTATATACTTCAAAAAAAATTAAAGCCTGCAGTTTTAATTTCTTTTATTACCTTGGACTAAATTAAAAATGGAGATGGAGGCAGCTTGCAAGAAATTGGATGCACTGGAGAAGAAAGAAAAAAGGGGAAAAGTGGTAGAACAGCCATCCTTTGAGGCTTTGGGGAATATCCCTCAGGATAGAAAATAAAACAACTTGCTGTTTTGGAAGCGTAGTCTTTGAGGAGAAAATGAGAACATACTTTTTTTTTTTTTTTTTTAAGCTTGAAGCCTGCAAGGATTCATTTTAGTTTCTCTTCTGATTTGCACAGGCTTTTTCAAATATACTTGTTAAGGTTTATTTTTAAATGTTCAAATAGTCAATAGCACTTTGATTTCTCTTCTCTTGTGCTGTCTTTGCTATTCGATTGGAAGTCAAAATAATACAGTAATGATGAGCTGCCAGTCACTGGTACTTTTTTTTCCCCACACAAGCTTTCTAAGGGACTAGATTCCTATCATACAGCATTGCTTTCTTCTGCCTGCCACTCCAGTTTCCTTTTTTTGAAAAGGAGTGAAGGGGGGTGATTACAATTCTCTTCAAGTGCTGTTTTATTTAAAAATGATTGTCCTGAATTACTTGCTGCCATCACTATAGCTGTAATCATTTCAATTGCTGGCAGACTTCTCTGTATTCTGTGTAGTGCTTTTGCTACCAGCTCCGGTAGGTGTGCAGCCTGAGAAACTGGATGGTAAAATACGGTGCAAAGATGATACTTCTCTATTTGCTGTTCTCTGCATTTCTCCGTATTGACTGTAGTCATCCAGCAGAGCGGGTTATTTTCTCTTTGCAAAAAACACTTGCTTCTTGGGAGTGTTAAGTGAGTTTTCACCGTGGTATTGTTCACAGTAGTTTCCTGTCTTCATAGCATTTGTTTGAGTGGCAGGTAGTTTTGTAACGGCAAGAGGGCAACAAGATCTAGAGGGCGTTCTGGTTTTCAATAATGTCTCTGGAAGGCTGTGTCTTTGGCATCTGCCTTCCTCAAGATGTCAAAAAATGTGGAAATTATTTCAGGCGCTGTTCTGTATCCCTCTTTGAACTAATTACTGAAGTCAGACAGGTCAATATAGAGTTAGTGATACAAGGCAAAATTGCCTTGCTGGTTAGAAGGTATCTGTACATTTGACTCAAGTACTTAAAAATGGCTAAAAACTGCCTGTACCGATGCCCATTATGTGTAACCGATGATGTAACCATTCAGTTCTAATGTGTTTCAGTATTAGTGCTTCTTAAGCTGCAAAAATACTACTGCGAGCTTAGAAGTTATGGGCTTAGTTGCATGAAATTTGTAAACTAATATATTTAAACCTAAACAGCCTTTGTGGCAGAAAGATTTATCTTAATGCTTTCCAAATGATTACTTTGGAGACATGCAGCAGCAGTGGGAAGGCATTAATTTTTGGTCTTTTATTACAAGATTTCTGTTGCTGAATAGAACTTTCTGTAGTAACTTGAATGCACATTATGCATGTTCAGGTCTTGTCAAGAAAGATTGTGATTGTATCAAAGTGAATGTTTTCATCTGGCAGCTGTTTTTTCAGTATTTTTTTTAAATAGTGATAATTTTTTGGCTGTAGATTCCGAAGGCTTTCTATTATTATTTATTTTCTTGTTTATATGACCTTTATGATTAAAAAAAAAAAATAAATAAAGAAATTGTTAAAAAGTTATTCATTAAAGAAAGACTAATGACCAGATGTCATGCCACACACAACTAGAAAAGGTTATTTGTAACAGAGGGAAGAAATTAAATTGAAAGTACTTTATCTTGTAATTTAAGAATACCTTATGTTAAGAAATCCAGTGGTGGATAGCTGTACAATTTTAGCTCCTTTTTCCCCGTAATAATAATGATAACAGTAAAACTTTAGTTGATTAATGATCTAGATTTCAATCCATTAATAAGATCATGGAAACACCAAATCCAACATTTGGAGTTAGGCTGGTAATTTTCCAGGCTTCCTAAGAACAGCCTTGTAGGTGTTCACTGTAAGTTTTCTGTCATCAGTCACTTGAAACAATAATATATTTAGAACTCGAATTCTTGTGGAGTGTTTATCTCTGGCTGCTTTAGTTCTTAATTACTAAAACATTGGCACAGAGAAATCAAGAGCAAGTTTTCAGTTTGTTACTTACATTTATTATTATTATTTCAGTGTATCAAGGATAGAGTATTTTTGATAGTTAAGTACTTGGATGCATTAATACTACTGCGCTTTATTTGTGTATACATGCATGCTGGCCATTATACATGCATCTTCCTAGCTACTTGTATGTATATGTCTTCCCTTTATGTGTGGCACTATGGTTGAGTGTCAGACTTGGGTAAATTAGTCTATTTTCTTAAAAGCATCCTTAGGAAGATTGATGCTCTCATCACCTAATTTGCTTAAACTTCTTACATGTGAGTGTATAGGGTAGTGTTGTTGAGTGTCCTTGATTTTTCTCAGGCTGAAATGGAATTTACCAGGACTTAACACCTGTGAAAATGAGACTGCCCATTAGTTTGTTTGACCAAACTTTGGAAGTGTTAACGTATTTTTGTGGCTTGCCCCATTGATAGCCCAACTAACTTATTTTCCTGGTTGTTAATAGAACTAGCCTTTCATTTTAAAAAGGCAGCTGTTTTATAAGAAGGAGAGGTGAAGCAATGATACTAAAGTAAAAGCTGATAGCACTAGTAATTAGACTCAATGCAACTGATACTGTTGCTTGGTTTTATACCATCAATTTTTTTCTGCTTTACTAAATTGCATATTTTGCATATGTTTTTTTTCCAGACTTACCAGATCAAGTTCTGAGGGTTTTCAAGGCAGATCAGCAAAGTCGCTACATCATGATCAGTAAGGACACAACAGCAAAAGAAGTGGTCATCCAGGCTATCAGGGAGTTTGCTCTCACCGCAACCCCTGATGCATATTCACTGTGTGAAGTCTCTGTCACACCTGAGGGTGTCATCAAGCAAAGGAGGCTTCCTGATCAGTTATCCAAGCTTGCTGACAGGATACAGCTGAGTGGCAGGTGAGATTGGAGACTGTGAGCTACAGCTGGCAATGCCAGTTATTAAGTCAAAATCGTGTTAATAGGAGAATTAGTTAATTATTAATGTTCTGTTACAAGAAATCACTCCTTACGCAACTTCTAATTGGTGTCTAAGCCTGGTGAATATTAATTTACTCTACGATTCAACTGGATCGTTACTGTAACTTTCACTAGTATTTGAGTATATTGTATCAAGTGTCTTTTTGAATTTTGTTTTCACAGGTATTACCTGAAGAACAACATGGAAACAGAAACTCTTTGTTCAGATGAAGATGCTCAAGAGTTACTAAGGGAAAGTCAGATTTCCCTCCTACAGCTCAGTACTGTTGAGGTGGCTACCCAACTCTCCATGAGAAACTTTGAGCTATTCCGTAATATTGAACCCACGGAATACATAGATGACTTGTTTAAACTCAAATCAAAAACAGGTTGCACTAATCTAAAAAAGTTTGAAGAAGTGATAAATCAAGAAACATTCTGGGTGGCTTCTGAGATTCTAAGAGAAACCAACCAGTTGAAAAGGATGAAGATCATTAAGCATTTCATTAAGATAGCACTACACTGCAGAGAATGCAAGAACTTCAACTCGATGTTTGCCATCATTAGGTATTGCCCCATAATAATATTATTTCTAAGTAATTAATACTGTTAACATCAACACTTGGCAGTCCAATAAGGAGGGCATTTTCCAGTAATCTGAACTTAACATTGAAACATTTGCTGAAATATTATTTGGAATGGCACTGTTATGTACTTATTGCTCAAGACAGTGAGGCAAGGGTCGTTGGTGAGCATGGCACTAGAGAAACCATGGCACTTATTTGAAAACAAAGACCAAAAGAAATGGCAGTTATATGAAGAAAAGTTATAACATTGTCATAAATGAAGGGGTTAGTTTCCCAAAGGCAGCTCATCGTCTTATGCATAGTTCCCAGTATCTTGAATTCATTGAACCATGATATGTTGCCTTTGGTTTTCTCTGTATCAGCAGTTTCCTCGATGGAACTCTGATAATAGTCAATAGCAGACTACGATGCCATATAATAACCTGTAAGTAAAGGTCTTTTAATTACAACAAAAGAAGTACTGAAAATCTCAGACAGAAAACCTTTCTTAGTTATGGAATGAAAAGGAGGAGAGGAAACTCTAATGTGTGTGTTTAGACACTTTTTTTAAAACATGCACATTTCCTTTAGAGTCTCCCAAGTTAGGCAGAAAGAACCTAAAAAAAAAAAAAACACAACTCTAAATATTGTCTCTTATGAAAAAGCTTGAGTAAGTTGCATTAAAATGACAATTTTATCACTGTCTCTAGCAAAAGTCCTCGTCAGATTCAATCTGTTGATTGAATGTGACACTTTTTCTGAAGATCACTGGTTTTGAATGCCATTCAATCAAACGTAGCAAGTTCCCAAGTCAAGGTTCCATGCTGATAATCAGTCAGCACCTGTGAGGCATAAAAATAGCGAGATTTAGCTCAGCTATTTCAGCTGACCTCAAGGAGAAATAAAAGCAGCCTGCCTGCTAGCAAAAACTTGAATGAAGTAAAGATTCTAAATGCCAGACTTTCACATAGGTAGAAATGAATAGCGAGACAAGCAATTAAGGGGGGGAAAAAAAACTGTTTTTTGTACCAGCTACAGCTTCAGAATAACCTGAAATGTATAGGGTCTGTTATATCAATTTGGTCTAGACACAGCAAAGTCAGGTGGATTATTGCAGCAAGAAGGCTGTCACTGTGCTGTCACCACCTAAACATTATGTAGGTGGAAGATGTTGTTTTTCCCCAGTCTGGGAATCTGGAAAGAAGTGGTGATCCTAAGGTGCTCCTAGATTGTGATATTTGTTATCAAATTCAGACACTGTTCCAAAGTGATAAGAGTAAGTACATACAGTCTATAAGGTTTAATTACGCATCCAAGTGTAACCTTTATCTGTTCATAGTTACATCATGCCTATTTCTCCAGTTTTTATGGCTTTTATAAAAACGATCCTAATTGTTCTGTAATACACACTGGAGAAAGGCAGTTTTCACTGTTACTTTGTTGACGTACTATGCTATTGTGGCTATATGGTATTTGTCCCATATGAAATTTAACATGGTCTTTTCTAGGATTTTTTTGTTTTATTTCTATTCTTCTTGAACTTTTTTGCACCTTTTGTTTGTTTGTTTCAAGTGGCCTGAATTTGGCACCAGTCGCAAGGCTCCGAACTACTTGGGAAAAGCTTCCAAGCAAGTATGAAAAACTGTTTCAAGATCTACAGGATTTGTTTGATCCATCTAGGAATATGGCAAAATACCGTAATGTCCTTAACAGCCAAAACCTACAGCCCCCCATTATCCCCCTGTTTCCCGTTATCAAAAAAGACCTTACGTTCCTTCATGAAGGTAAAAGCAGAAGTACGTCATCTTTTACCAGCTTAGGAAAACTAAATTTGCTACCTAATAACTGATGTTGTTAATTGTTGGTTGTAGGAAATGATTCAAAAGTGGAGGGTTTGGTCAATTTTGAGAAGCTGAGAATGATTGCGAAGGAGATACGCCATGTTGGTCGCATGGCGTCTGTGAACATGGATCCTGCTTTAATGTTTAGAACGAGGTAAGTGTATTGTATTAGGCAGAGCTTTTCCCAGCGGAGAGAAGGGTAGGTGTCAGCAAGTGGTGCTTTTCAAGTGCCCCTTGTTGATTTGGAGCAGTATGAGGTTTTTGGCTGTTTGTTAACGATTTACCAAAATTATGTGGTGGTCTAAAACTGGAGAAATCATCACATTTTGTGCTTATGAAAATATATTAAAATGTTTTATATTATTCTTTAGCTGCCAGTTACCTCAAAAATGAGATTCCATTGGTGGGAGATAGGGGTAGATACTGCCTCGAACACATGTATTAGTCTGTCTGAACGTTGATGTGTGCCAGCGTTATCGTTTTGATTTAGTGGAAGGGGGAATGTATCTGAAACAGTGTCAGCTAGTGGTGTTAGAAAACGTGGAGTGAATGCTCTTTGGCTTCATGTTAGACCAGCTTATTGCATACTCTTTTTCTTAATTTGAGCTAGAAGAGTTTGTAATATCTGACTGTATGCCCGAGTTAATGCTCTTTTTAATGTTTGTGGGCTTCCAGAACTGCTTGTCCTGAGGTCTGGTCTTTTTCTTTCTGAGCTTGTGATCTTTCTCTGTCTCTTCTTAAACCCATGCTTTACTCTTCCTGGCTCTCACTTGCAGGAAGAAGAAATGGAGGAGTTTGGGGTAAGTGGTTGGAGACAACACACACAAACATTCATTCTTCCCTTATCATTTGCATTGTTTCCTACTTGCTATCTTTAATTTTCTGGTGCTTTGACTTTTTTTTTCTTTTATTAACCCTTTTTTACTGACAATGCATTTCAATCCAGGAGTGCTTTAGCTTTTGAGGTTAAAACACAAAAATTGTAAATTATTTGTAAGTGGTTCCAATTCAAATTCCCAAAGGAAGTGACTTTCCATAAAAGAGAAATTATAAAATGGCAAGGTTGCAACAGCTGAAAATTGCTGTTAACTTTCTTATGCCTCATAAGCAATTCTCACAATCAAATACAAAAGTTAAAACTTAGAGTCTGCTAAACTAACTTATTTCCATATTACAAGTCAGCCATCAATTTTACTCTTAACAATTCAGGAACAATGCATAGCTTTCATATAGACATACATACATTGAAATGTGCATGACATTTACTTCATTATGAACTAGCTGATCATTTTATTTAACAAAAAGCTGTCTTCAGCCTAGCAAGTTACAGGGAAATTCTATTCTGCAAAACCGAGCTGTGCATTTTGTATATGGTCCGATTTAAAAAGTATTTAGAGAACTTTCAAAACACCTTCTGTATATGTATTTAAATTTGAACCTCAACTATAGTCTTCTGTCAGCATTGCCTTACTGCATGAGCTTTTCCTAATGCTCCAATCTTCTCAATAGCTGGCTTACGTGAGAGAGCTAGCTTGAATGCTTTTCTAGATGTGTGAAGTGATATTGCCTAGTTGGAGCAGAATAGGTTAAAATATTTGTGTAATTAAAATAGTGCCTGTAACCAAGTAAAAAGATTTCCTGACCCTCATCTTTCTATCTGTTGTAGCTGTTTGACTTACTGGAATGAGGCATGTAAGCTTTGACCGTAGACTGACATTCATGCAATCTTTTGCACATTTCATGTTTATCAAGTGATACCCTGTTGGACTAAGTCATACTTTTCCCCTCTTTCCTCCTCCTCCTGCCGCCTCTTCACTCCAGGTCTCTCAGCCAGGGGAGTACGAATGCAGCCGTACTGGATGTTGCGCAGACAGGGGGTCATAAAAAGCGGGTCCGTCGCAGCTCCTTCCTTAATGCTAAAAAACTGTATGAAGATGCTCAGATGGCACGGAAAGTAAAGCAGTATCTCTCCAACTTGGATCTGGAAATGGACGAAGAGAGCCTCCAGACGCTGTCTCTGCAGTGTGAGCCAGCCACCAACACATGTGAGCGTTGTCATTTGTTACGCATTTCAGGGAAACTGTTAAATATTACCTCTGTTTCTTCTCCACGGAAGTAATTGGGAACGGTAACTAGACAAGTAACTAGGTGAAAAATTATGTGTCCGGTCATTTCCAAGTACTGAACATCTATGAATCTTAAGGAAATCATCTTGCAGATTAACACTAGGGAGACATAGCATCTATATAGGAGATAAGGCTTTCAGATGATGTCATGCTGAAGTGCACAAGGGTTCTTTAGATTTGTCCGTACAAAGGGTATGGAGGAACCAAAAGTTTCTCTACAGTGCTGATGTGTGGATAGGGTTGGTCATCCTGGATATCTTGGCCTTGGAGAGGGAGAAGATGATTTCCTTACATCTGGGTGTTTCAGAGATACCTGGAGGGCTGTACCTGCCTGCAGCAGAGGGAGACCTTGTGCTGGATATCTGTTTCATTTTGATTTGAGGGAATGCTGTATCTTACGTCCTTCCCTTCCTTCAGGGTAGCAAAAACCAGTAATTATATATCCATTCTAAACCGGTTGTAGTCCTTATGATAGCCCAGTATAACTTCTGGCCATGTTTTTGATAACTATAATGATAGTCATTTATGAGAGTTTTTATTTTGAGAAAAAGAGTAAACGTTCTCTGATAATGTACATATTTTAAATGGAGTTAAATCTTCCCCTCTTTTCCTCTTCACCTTTTCTCTCTAAAGGTATACAAGTATTTGGGCACCTTTTAAGTATTAATTGGAGGGCTTTGCACCGCTCAGATGAAAACTCCCACGATATTTTTAGCTAGTAGTCATTCTGTGTTTTCTCCCATTTCTTCCAAAGTGCCGAAGAATACGGGAGACAAGCGATCTGGAAAATCTGAAACGTCACCGGTGGCTCCCCGGGCAGGTATCCAGCAGAAAGCGCAGCAGCAACAGCAACATAAAGTAAACCAAGCACTGCAGGTCCCTGCCGTATCTCTTTATCCCTCTCGCAAGAAAGTGCCAGTCAAAGACCTCCCACCATTCGGTAAGCGGAACAATGAAGTGTTCGGTTTGATACTCTCAAGTTTGTTTGCTTGTGTCAGGGAGACATTTTTAATCAAATAAGAATCAGACACTTATTTCTGGTAGTTTTGTAAGCTGGTTATGCCAGTTCATGCAGTGTGTATGCATAATTGTCTTCTCTAGAAATGGAAAGAAATAAATCTCGGAAAGCTTCCTGACAATTTAATGGGTATAAGTATTTACCTGTTAGTAGCAGCTGGAAAGAATGAATGTTTCTGACTATCTGCCCTGGGATTTTGGCTTAACTTTTTCAAACGGTTTAGTGACTTGGAGTTTTTGAGTGACCCATCTGAGATGCCTCAGAAATTTTGGTGTTTTTTCAAAAGCTGAACATTTAATGTGAGATGCAGATTCAAACTGGTAGTCCCGTTAGAAGTGTAGGCCTGAAGTTTCATGCTGAGAATTGTTCCTTTGGCTTCTGCTCCCCAGTGCTGCTTTATTGTTGTTGTTCCGTCGTTGCTGCCTGCGTGTCGCTCAGAAAGATATCGGACTATAGGAATTTCTTCTAATCTGATTTTCAAATCTGTGTCTCGGCATAGGTACATAACATATGCATTATTAAAGAACTTCTTACACGTCACTTGAAGTACAGTAACACTCCTAATAAGTATAGGTAGCATAACTGGCCCTTCCTCTTGCACCATAGTAATTTCACAAGAGCTTAATTCTGATTTCACTTTTGATTACTTTTACTTGTGTACTGCTTAGGCTGCTAACAAAACATTAGAAGCAGCAAAATGAGCAAGAAACAATTCAATATTCATCTAGTTTTTGTTGATTTTACCATTAAATTTTAATCTTAAAAGGACTTTGAAGCGCTATAGACTGCATTTTTGCTCATGGTGGGGAAGTTTCTGAAAACTGACTAAGTTATCTTGATGAAGCAGCTGTAAATTATTGATAGCAGCATTGTGATCCAACAGATCAAAGATAAGTTCTGCAGAATGCTTGAAAATAACCTCTACCACAAACGTTGGCAAAACTGTCAGAGAAGCTCTGTCTTCACTTTTAAGACTGTCCCAGGGTGGATTTTTGAGGGGAGAGGAAGAGAAAGATGGATAAACGTTGCCTGAGAAAAGCAATTCTTGGTGCCCTAGATCTTTACATCATCTTCAGGATGTTTTTACTCTTTAGTTTCCCAAAATAAGACGGTGCAGAGCTAGTTCTCAAAAATGAAAGGGAGAAAAGCAGCTGCAGGATGGCCTTGTTTTGTAAGCCTAATCTTATTCACCTTCTTTCCAGCTTTCTTTGACCTTCTAGGCTACTCTGAATAGAAAAGAAACAGGGCAACAATTTCAATTCTTACTATATAAACCTTCACTAACCATTGAGATTTGTGTGTGTTTGTATTCAACATAATTTTAGTTCAAGTTTCTCAGTAACCATTACTATGCATATCGTTGATTTATACATTGTATAGGGAGTATTCTGCAACACTAAATCTTGCATTGTTTTTTTCTGTGACAAAGCATTTATTTTCAGTGGCCAGAATGAAAGACTGGCTTCACTAATATGCAGAAATAAAGCGCTGCATTTTAAATGGGAATAGGTTTAAATGTTTTGCTTCATTTAAGATGGTGTCAGAAACTCACTAATATACCGGAACAAAATTCAGTGTTTTTTTCCTGTGTGGTGTCTGCTCTATAAACGTATTGTGAAACAGAAAGGTGTATTTATACTGGACTTTACATCTGCCTATATTAATTCTTATTTAAAGGCATTAACTCCCCGCAAGCTTTAAAGAAAATTCTTTCATTATCTGAAGAAGGAAGTTTGGATCGTCACAAGAAACAATCTGAAGATACAGTCTCAAGTGCATCTTCACAGCTATCTTCTCCTCCCACTTCACCACAGAGCTCTCCGAGGAAAGGTATTAGATGTGCAATATTTCTCATCCCGTTTCCTGAAGCTCATAGACTTTGGAAATTCTAAGAGAGAATTTGGATACTAAGGATAAACTCCTGCTGCTCCTATTTTTGTCACATATGGTCAGCAAGAGGGTAGGAAGTATAGTGCAGAGTGGGGTACAGGAAAGTGTACTTAGGAACCTGATTTCGGGGATACCTGAAAGCCCTCTGGTTAGCAAAAGCCAGGAAGGATAGCCTGATCTGATGCAGGATTGGATGCAGTAGGTCAGTCCCACTGCAGCTGCTTCTGCAAAAATACTCCCATTCATCAGTGTTTCCTGCCAGTGGAAGGATGTGCAGATTGGCACGTAAAATCTTTGTGCAGCATTGAGCACACTAGCCTGTTAGAGGAATTATTTGCTGTGTCATGCATCTGGATGGGGTGTGACCTATGTATAACAGCCAGGCTTAAGGTATTTGGGATTCAAATCACTAATACACAACATTTTACTGGCAGCCTGATTAATGATTCAAACAATGTATATGGAAATTTGAAGAATGGTATTACACATAAGAGCTTTCTTGACTGAGTTCTTTTTAAGTTACTTCATAGAGTTTGGGATTTTTTTTTTAGAGTGAATTTAGGACTTTAAAGGGATTTTTTTTTTTAAAAAAAAAGTTTTTTCATTGTACTTGTTCTAGTTGTGAATTGACAAAATGGAGAATGGAGGCATTTTGCTGCAGTTCAGACAAACAAAAAAGTCCCTTTGGAAGTATGATAGCCTAGTTGTACTGCAGATAGCTTCTAAATTATTCTCTCTTCAGAATATCACAAAAGTTCAGTTAAACAGTTACATAGTATAACATTATTGTAAAATATATATATATAGGGTTGAGTCCCTATAACAGAAGTTCAGAATGTGAATGAGAGGAGTGTGTTGGAGACTTCCCTGTAGCAATAACTTTCCCTAAACTGCACAGGGATGAGAAGGACTTGAAACTTATGTACCACTTTTTCTATTTTCTTATCAAATGGACAGCTAAGCCCTTTTCTGCCGATCACTTGAGGCTTTATGGCTCCAGGCTAATGGACCTAACCAGTTCCACCTCTCCTCTTGGAAGTGAGAACAGTAACAAGAATAACAGTTCAGCAAGGACCACTGGGATAGGTGGGGCTTTTGGAAACAAAAGGGGAAAAAATAAATCCAACTGGATAAGCAGAGATCTGAAAAGGGGAGAGATTAATATGGCAAGGAAGTGCAAATGCCTATCCAAAATCTGTGATATTTACTAAGGTCTGGTGGAGGAAGAGGCTATGTAGAGAAGACGTGTCGAGTCCTTGTAAGGGATCAACATGATTTCTCCCAAATACTGCATTAGCAAAGAGTGAATTTATATAAATGTGGTCAGGCCCATGCATTTCTTGAAAAAGGAATTGGTATTCTGCACTTGGCTCATAGTGGGAAAAGAACTTTATTTTTGCAAAAAGCAAATCATAAACATGACTATAATTTTTTTTTAAAAAAAATCCTTGTTTTGATGGTGATGTGAAGCCAATGGTATGTTCTTTAGACAAAAATGGCAGCAAGTGAATTGGAGTAGATCAGTTGAAGTCATCTTGACACTTATGTGTAGACTGAAAGCAAAAATGAAAACTGCAGTTAATTGTGGATGCGTGTTGTTTAATGATCTTTAACTTACCTGGCAAAAGCATTCAGCACAATTTTGTTTAATACTAAAGCACAAGCTGAATTTACCTCTGTGACACAGTTTGCAGATTTTATCTCAGGCTGGCAGTGTCAGTGCTACCTCCAAATGATGGTATAATTCTACTAATAAATGCTATTTGGCATGTAATTAGTTAGCCAAGTGCCACAAAGAAGGCTTGAAAATCTGGCCCTCTCTCAGCCAAGATACGTAATAAGCAGTCAGCCCAAACATCTGTGCTTCGTGTTGTATCTCTGAAGTGTAGCTTCGCAGAACAGAAGATCTGTGTGAGAGGGGCTCTTGGATTACTTTAAGCAGTAATCTTATCCGGGGCATCTCTTTCATTCCAGTCTTGGAGGCAGTGTTTATGTACAGGCAGTTTTTGGGATACAAGTATGATGATGCATTTGAAAATAATTTGGGAGAGGAGGGCAGAGAAGAAGGAAGGAACCAACTGCTCAGTTGGTTTCTAAATGAGAAGTGCATGTTCCCACAGTCTTACACCTCTTATTAAGAGACAATACCCAGTGTTATACAGTTCTGCTACATATCTTTCTGTCTTTTGCAGTGCTGCTTCTGTGAATAAAATGTAACCGTAGTTTTGATTTACTATGGTAGCAGTAGTAACTATTGCCGGCTGCCTGGCAGTAACTGAGCGGGCTTCTCGGAGTCTGATTAACGTGCCATTCCCTTTGCAGGCTATACTTTGGCTCCTAGCGGCACGGTGGATAACTTTTCAGATTCTGGTCACAGCGAAATTTCTTCCAGATCTAGTATTGTCAGCAATTCCTCTTTTGACTCTATGCCAGTCTCCCTGCACGATGAGAGGAGACAGAGGCATTCTGTCAGCATCGTGGAGACAAATCTTGGTGTGGGAAGGATTGATAGAAGAATCATGATTGAACCAGATCAATACAGCTTAGGGTAAGTATTTTATTTGTACTTACTTACATTATAGTTTCATATAGTGTGTATGTGGCATGTATATGTATATTTGTTCGTGTAACTTTCCCTGTATCTCTCTCAAATATTTTTTCTCCCCTGCTCTTAAAGCCCACTGTTTCAATGCTGATAATGCTCCATTTCCTGACAAGAAAAGGTTTTGTGCTCCTGAGTGTGTGATGAGGTGTACAGCAGTAAGACTCTACCTCACTAGACTTTATCATCTGAGTATTTAATAGTGCTGTAGATTATCCTCTCTGTGGCAGACTAGTTTTCTAGATGGGGAATTAACTGAATTAGATGAGAAGTTATTCATACAATTATTCAGTGATCAAGCTGAGAGCAGAAATAGCTAGTAATTTTCCAGTCTGTTTCATAGAAAAGTATGTATTTATCTAACCCAAAAATATTTTACCCCAAACATCTCTCCTAGTCAACAATAATTGGAAGCTAAAATTCACATTAGGCTGCTGGTTTTCTAGGTAATTTTCTAGGTAATTAACTTCTGTAATGGTGGGGAAGCTAGTGCTGTGAGGAGTTCTCTGAATCTCTAGCAGCGAGCCTTGGTCTGAAAATAATTGGAGCTCTGGCTCCTATTTAGTCTCGACTTACTTCTCTGAGCTGTTATTTGGATGCTTCAGTCCTCTGAATGGTTTCAGGGCTTTTAATCCTGCGGGGTCTGTGGATGGCAGGCCTGTTCCAAAACTGGTGTTCTTCAGCTTTGGGAATCCCAGGCTATGCAAACTCTTTAAACAGATGTCTTAAATATTTGGAAGAGCAGGGTTCCAGTCTGCATAGCAAGCTGCCCTGGAAGGACAAATCCCAGGAGCCCAGATAGCTGCTAAACAAAAGTGACACTTTGTCGGTTTTCACTGCTGCTGTGTAAGTGATAGTGTCAGGCTCACTTAATCGCTGAAAGGCTACGGAGGACATACTCAAGTAGCTTGTGTTTCCAAAGTTAAGGTTTAAATGCATTTCCATTTGCAAGAAATATTGAAAAAATTGCTTTCAGAATTTCCTAAGCAGAAAAATAGTCTGAAAAGCTGAAACCTAAACCTGAATTTTGGGCACTTCTCACTAAAAATCTGTGTCTAACTTCTGATCCTTTGCTTCATGTGGCTGGAAAAGAAACCCCGTCTCTCAGTCTGTTCCCCTTTATATATTTCAACGTGATTTGCCAGTTTTAAAAGTCTGCTACAAAGTTAACATTTTACCTTTGAAATTACTCCACTGAAGTGTTAAGTTTCATCAGGATATCTATCCAGTAGGGTTTTTGTTTGTTTTATTGAGGATAAACTTGAAATGAAAGTGTTCTATTCTGAAAATTGAATTAGTCATTAACGCAAATAATGCTTAATATAACTCTCATCAAAACCCTCAATTGTAGAATCATAGAATGGTTTGGGTTGGGAGGGACCTTTTAAAGGTCATCTAGCTCAACCCCTCAATATGTGTGCTTTTCTTTTGGCTGTTGGGTTCTTCATGTGTCTTGTAAATGATTTCCAATTCCAACACTGGATATTTTTTTTTTTTTCCCCTCTTCAACGTGCATCTAGCTCGTATGCACCACTGTCAGAGACCAGAGGCCTGTATGCTGGCGCAACTGTGCTTTCTTCTCCTAGTACAGAAGAACTGTCACAGGATCAGGGGGACAGAGCTTCGCTCGATGCAGCTGACAGTGGCCGTGGTAGCTGGACTTCTTGTTCAAGTGGTTCTCATGACAACATACAAACAATACAGCACCAGAGAAGCTGGGAGACTCTGCCTTTTGGACACGCTCATTTCGATAGTTCAGGCGATGGGGCAGGACTGTGGGCCTCGGGCAGCCACATGGACCAGCTGATGTTCCCCGATCATGGCGCAAAGTATGGCAGGCAAAGTCAAGGTAGGGAGGGCCTTGATCAAGCACAGTCCAGAGCAAGCTGGGCATCCTCAACAGGATACTGGGGAGAGGACTCGGAAGGTGATACAGGTACCATAAAGCGGAGGGGTGGGAAGGATGTTTCGATTGAAGCTGAAACCAGTAGCATAACATCCGTACCAGCAGAGGAGTCAAAGCCAGCTCCCATGCCCACTCATATAGCAGTATCACCAAGTAGTACAAAGGGGCTTGTTGGTAAGTTAAGTTTTGTTTACCATGAAGTATTTTAATTAATTTGTCTATAGTTCTTTGTATTATTCTAAAACTGCATTTCTTCTGTCTGGTTTGATTTTTATTTTTTATTTTTTTTTAAAGCAAAACCAAACATTTGTAGTCTCTCTCAAATTTTCCCCTTTAACTGTGCATTTATTGCTAGGGAAAATATCACTTATTGTTGATTCTTAGTTCTGCCAGCTCCTTTGTGTTTCAAGTGAACCTGCCATACATCAAAAAAACTAGCTCAACTGGTGGACAGTGTTTTGAGAGGCTGATGTATTTAGGTGTCTGTTCTGAAATGTGAATTTCTCTTCACAGTAAGGCTCCACATTCTATATTTAGATATCTTAATAAGTGGCCTGATTTTTTTAGAAGCCTTTCACTTTAGTCTGTATGACTAGTCTGATGATTGTGAATATTCCTTACTTCTGAAAATGGGGTCACTTCGTGCTTAAATACCGAGGTGTTTCTTTGGACTGCTGAAACTGAAGAGGTTCGTAAGAAATTAGAGCTGAAATAATTTCTAGTCATTCAATAAAAGAAAGATCAGATAATATGTAAATTGATGTGAAGGTGTCTTTGGCAGTGCGTAACATTTTTCTCATACTGTTCCTTCTATGAATCCCAGTCCTTGCGGCATCCAAGACCTCTGCATTTCTGCCTATTTCTTTCCTTTCATTTCCCTTCACTTTGCCTTTCTTCAGGTTAATATGAAGAACTATCTAACAGCCGTTTTGTACTGATACGGCTGAAAAAGTCTGCCAGATTGAGGTCATGCTGAGACCACTGTGATAAACTGCTTTTCCCTTTTCTGCCCAAGTATATTGCTTAGCAGTGGCCCATTGCCTCAAAGCTTGGGTGCAGATCTGAATCCCTGAACTATGAAGAGGAGGAAACTGTTCGGTTCAGGACTCCAGGTTCTGATTCGTGCCGCTGTCTAATTTTACACTTTGAAGCCCTTGGTTTCCACCAAAATGCGCAACAAGCATGTCCAAACTTGCCTCTCAAGGAAGTGACGTTCCACTATGTTTTTAGAGATTTGAGAGAATGTGAGAGATCAGAAAATTCAAGCCACACACTTCCATGCGCTTCAGTACTATTAACTAATTATCCTGCAAATGTAACGCTGCATATCACTCTAACAGAAGCCGCTATTTTTACATGGTTCTTTGTGACTAAATAGACATTGATCTCTTGCAGTGTTTCAATAGAATTTTTCTAGAGAATTTCTGCTGCATCAGAGTTACTTTTCAGAAATCTTTGAATAAAATTTCTCAGAAGCTTTTTTCATGCTACATTAAAGCAATTTGTCTAAGAAAAATACTTAGATTCCATTGGAAACTATTTGGTTTTGTTACAATACCAAGACTTTATTTTTAGTCTATAAAAGCTCACATCCAAGTAGCACCATTCTGTTTTAAGCTTGTACTGCCCTTTCATTCAATTTCATGCTGCATAATGCAGGGTGATGTTGTCATCGCCACTTGTGCAAGAATATACAGTGTATGACAAGCTGTGGAGGGTAAATTGTCTGTGTCAGTGATTTATCCTGCTGTTTGCCTTTGTACTGTAAGTTAAGTGGTCATGTGTTAAAGGGCTAGATCCACAATTGTTCAATATCAAAGCCCCAGCTGACTTCTTTGAATACATAACTCCAAAATAGTCATGCCTATCTGCTGTGTGTCCCTGCAGACCCTTAAAATTCTTAATTGCTGTTTCCTCCCTTGAAGTCCTCTGCAAGACAGAACTTCTAAGTATGCCCAGAGTTAAGCCTTGTTCAGGTAAAGAGTTATGCCTTGATGAGATCCATCTCCTATATAAAATCATATTCTGTCATTGTTCTTATGGGTGTATTTTCAAGTTTTAATTTTGCAGAGAATACAACCGTAAGAGCAGCGGGCAGTAGTGCATACAGAAATTATGAAGATGAAGCCCACTTCTCTTCCTTACCTTTTGGAATTGTAGCTTATGTCTCATTAAGTAGTAAGGTTTGTAGGAAGAAATAATTTACCAGGTGCTCCTCCCTCCCACAAGATGTTAAAAAGAAGAGATGAGCTCCGAAGTACAAAGTCCATCTTCAGGATCAAGATAGTCATGCATTTGCCACTTCTGTGGACTCTTGAGTCTTCCACATTACTTTGATCAGTGTACTTTTTATTCTATGTAATTGGTGGAACAGCTTCAGTGGCTAAGTTCGAACAAATTCCCCATGTAATTTGGTGAATTTTATTAGACTAATGCTTCACTACTGGAAAAATAGTTATATCCTGTGTATGTTGTATATTGTGCACTTTCTTGCGTGGTTTATTTTTCAGTGTTTATCTAACTTTCACTGTTTGTTTTTCTTTGAGCAGTTTTCCTCTTACTAACTTTTATAATAATCTGTTGTTTTTCCTGCAGCACGAAAAGAGGGTCGATACCGGGAACCACCTCCAACTCCCCCTGGTTATGTAGGAATACCTATTGCTGAGTTTGCAGAAGGTGGCTCCCATCCAACCAGAAAGCCTCCAGATTACAACATAGCACTTCAGAGGTCTAGGATGGTGGCACGGACATGCGAGACTCATGGGACATCAACTCCGCAGCAGCAGTCGCATGGCCATTCAACTAGCAGGCCTGTGAACAAACCTCAGTGGCATAAACCAAATGAGTCAGATCCACGTCTTGCTCACTATCCGTCTCAAGGGTTTTCCACAGAGGAAGATGGTAAATTTCTAATTGTTAGATTTTGAGTGTGCTGCATGCAAAAATGGTCAATGCTTTCACAGACACAAAGCAAACTACGCAAATGTGTTCTGCCATAGAAATTCTTGCCGTAATTTGAGCTCTCTTCCATCTTTCAAAACTTGCTCTTTGTTAACTTTTTGGAAGGGGAGGAGTTCAGTTCATCCTAAATATAATTTAACATTTGGAATCTAGGTCCACCTGAATCTTGGACAACCAAGCAGTTGGCTTAGGCAACTTCTCTGGAGGTGCCTATGTTCACCAGGTGTAGTCCTGCCTGCCCTGGAAGTTTCCAGCGTACCTAACGTTTGGCACTAACCACATATTTAATGGTCAAAAACGTATGCTGGTCTATAGAATACCTGCCCATCCACCCAAGAGAGGTCAGATTTATTTGGATAGTCACATTCTACCTGAAACTCTTACACTGTGGACACTGGGTCTTCCATACCAACTGCTTCACATAACAAGCCCGCTATTCTTTTGCTACCTCGCTTGCCCAAGTGTGTCTGCATCTTTATGCTTTAACTCAACTATAATGATAGAAAGACTATGTAGACATAGTCATTCTGGTTTTCTATGGAGTGCAAGCGTAGCTGGATTGCATCTCTAGGGCTAGGTGCTCAAAATTTAGGCAGGGCAGTGCCCAAATCACACATTTGAATGCTTTGTTTTGCTTAATGATAGAAAGGCTAACATTGCCGTTCCCACCCTAACTGCTTAGTTACTAAGGTTTTATGTGCAGGATGAACTCTGCAGCTGAACATGATGGAAAACAGTGAATTCTACCTTAATCAAATTGCCTCAAGCTTAGAGAATTTTAATTGTTTCTACCAATGATGACTAAAGCTGCACTCAATTTTTGTGCAATCTTGATTTAAATAAATCACAGATGTATTCAGGGAAAAATGTAAGATGGCTCTATGAAGCTATTGGATATCTTGGAGTAGTTGTTGTGTTCCTCAAGCTGAGGAACTGCACCTAGCTCACTTTTACCAATTGTCTTAATTTCTTCGACAACAAAATTGAAAAGGAGTACTTCTCACAAGACATTAAATGTACAGATATTTAGATTCTTTTAAAATATATGCCTAATACAACAAAATGGAAAACGCATGAGCACAGGACAGGTTGTATCATTCAGTAGCAGTCTTGTTCTATATGAACTAAATTCTATTTTCCCCTATCCTGTTGTGTTTGCAGAAGATGAACAAGTCTCTGCTGTCTAAGACTTGGGCTTTTCTGGATCCAGAGTGAGCCACCTTAAAGGAGAGCACAAGAAGACGTCCCTAGAATAGGAGCCTTGGAACTATAGTTAAAGGATGGTGGACCTATTTGCCTCCTTCCCTGCCTTAAAGCAGCATGGGGCTTCTTCCTCCGCCCCTCCCCCTTCTGTCCCCTCTCCCCTTGCATGTGAAATACTGTGAAGAAATCGCCCTGGCACTTTTCAAACTGTGTTGCTTGAAATGCACAGTGCAGCAATCTCCAAGCTACCACTGTCGCTGTCTGCCACATCACACAGTATCATTCCAAATTCCAAGATCATCACATCAGGATGATTAACTCTGGCTGCACTTCCCAATGCCTGGAAGGGTTTTGTTTTGTTTTTTTTTTTTTTTTTAAGATCTTCCTTTTAGATTTTAATCACAATCCTAGCACTTAGTCTCATTGGGATAATGAGACAAGCTAGTTGTCAAATTACATTTGGCCTTTAACCTACAAAGAGAAAAACGCATTGAAATCCTTCAAGGAGGCAGTGCTTATTTGCTTGTTTACAAATGCCTTTGTTACAATTTTGTATGTTTGCGTTTCGGAGATCAAATACTGCATCTGCATAGTAATTACAGTATTATATCATACCTGTAAGTAGGGTTGCCAGCCTGAGCTCCTGGAAAGAATATTGCTACCACGTGGCTGAGCAGGGCAGAAGGGAAGGCAGAGGTTTACGTGCGGGATGCAGCCTTTCCTTGACCACCTCTTACTTCACTCTTAATGTGCCCCACCCTGGAATCTTCAGAAGTTTATAAACGTTGGCCTTAATGGCATCCTCAGCCGTTAATGGCATCCTCAGCCGGGTCTAGTGTAAATGCAGAAACACGTGCTTGCAACTGGCCGGTGATGGAAGAGGACACTGTGTGTCTCATACCTGTGCCTTGCGGAATACAGGATGGCATACTCAAAAAGAAAGTGTCCCATTCTAATGAGACAGACGGCAACCCCACCTTTAAGTTATATATTATTTTTATTTTTTACTATATAGTAGTTATATTAAAAGAAAAATTAACTGGATAACATTGCAGTGAAGGCACGTTGGGATGTCACAGCTCGTGTCAGCTGTTAACACTGATCTAATAACCTCCATCTATTGACTTTGGCATTAGGGGATAAACGAGCCTTTAAGTAATGAAAAATAACCCGTTTAGATTTGCCAGCCTTTGCAATGCAGAAATAGTCACAACTGTTAATGGCTTCATGGAACACTGCATGTGTAGAGAAGGCCAATGTGTAGCAACCACCTGCTCACAGCTGCTATTAACCCTATAATGACTGAAATGACCCTCCCCTCTATTTTTGTGTTGTTTTTGCACAGACTCCGGAGAAGTGAAGGCTGCCAATCCGAGTAGTACTCAAATGTGAGGAACTGCTGGTCTTGGATTTTTTTTTTTTTCCATTGAACTCAGCTGATCATATTGATCAGTAGATAAACGTAAATAGCTTCAACTTTTAAAGATCAAATTGCAGTGTTTTTTCACTGTATCAAACAAATGTCAGTGCTTTATTTAATTCTCTCTCCTGTAATCATAGCTTTTGTCTATTTGCTTATATATCACATTGTCAATTATGCATTTGTAATTTTACATGTAATATGGATTATTTGCCAGTTTTATTCTCAAGGCTATGGACCTCATGTGCATATAGAAATACAAAATCCTAGCTCTATCACAAGTTGCACAAATGTTATATAAGCATTAAGTAATTGTAGACCATAGGACTGCTAATCTCAGTTCGCTCTGTGATGTCAAGTGCAGAATGTACAATTAACTGGTGATTTCCTCATACTTTTGATACTACTTGTACCTGTATGTCTTTTAGAAAGACATTGGTGGAGTCTGTATCCCTTTTGTATTTTTAATACAATAATTGTACATATTGGTTATATTTTTGTTGAAAATGGTAGAAATGTACTATGTTTATGCTTCTACATCCAGTTTGTATGAAGCTGGAAAATAAATAAATATAACATTAATGAAGTCCATATTGATTCTTATGCATTTTACATGTTCCACATACTTGAACAAATTTATGAAAAAATTTTACTTCTCTGTGTATTAATATTAAAGGGACATTGCCAAGTGATGTGGGCAAACCATTGGTGTGGAGTTTTTCTTAATATACACTTGTGTTGCTGATCCCATTTTTGAAAAGTTTGATGTGTGTACTGCTGAATGAGAATGACTGATATGTTGTGTGCCCCCAGCAGAAACATTTGAGATGCCGAAAAAGGAGTTCCTATAGGAATGGTCTTAGGTATATAGAGCATGTAAACTGTTTTAAAGGAAAGATTGTGTTGATTTTATATTCTGTATGGTGTAAAAGTAAGGAATCCATGTTGTGACATTTGGGTAAGGGGAACTATGGAAAGTGATCCATTTGAGCTTTTACCGAGGAAGGTATTTCAAGTAATAAAGATCACCCAATAGCATCCCCAGTAATAAAAGTTGACGTTGATTCAATGTCAAATCTGTAGATTTTATTTTTTTTCCAGACGTTAGATACATTATTTTCAGTAGTGTGCAGGAGACTGGGTTAAAATGTCACTGCTAAAGCCATTATCAGCTATATCCCATTTAGCTTTAAAACGCTTGACAGGCATTGTTTCCAAATCTAAAATCAGCTTGTTGCGAAGAGAAGCAACAAAATGCTCTGTGTGGATTTAATTCTTCCTAACGTAACTCTAGAAATGTTCTATATTTAAAGTGCAATCATAAGCAAGTTAAAAATCATTGAAAATACAGGAGTGGTGTAAACATTCTCTCTTGATCACTGGAATCTCCAGCACTGTAAGGAAAGGAATTATAGAGACTTAGATTTGTATGGGGGTGTGTGTGGAACTAATCTCTGCTAATCTGTGGCTGATACTTGTTGGGCAAATATCAGCAAGCTCGAGAACTGTCATTGATTCTGAGGTTAGTAGAAATGAAAGTACATTGTTACGTATCTTACCTGCAAATTTGTCCTTTGGTAATACTAAAAGCACATTGTTAGGGAAATGATTCCTCTTATCGACTTGTGAGGTATGTGAACCATTTGCACGCTTGTCAACTTTTTTCTGTATGCTTGGTATAGTGTTGAGTTAGGCAACATTCCCTCTCCTCCTGTTTATGCCTCCCTGCTCTAATTAGTATTCTTACAACACATTGGTAGAGACACCCTCAACACTCATTGTCCAATACGCATGGCTTAATTCATTGTGGATTGGGAGATAAAGAACACTTCACACAGCAACCGATAAAGTAGAAGTAAAGGCTGTGCTATGGTATGACTTCTTAGGAAACAGGTTTGCTAATTGTTCTAGTATGTGTAATATGAATTTTGTACTTATTGTGTGGATACAGCAAGATGTGGACAAGTAAACTATCAGTTGCTGGGATTTGGTGTTGCACTAACCAAAATCACACTGAAATCTAAGGAAATTTTTTGTCTGAAGAAATGTCGTTCAATTATCTGTACTCTTTTTTTTGAGTTGTTTTTTAACTGAAACTTGTTGAGGCACAGGCTACTTCTTTATGCAGTGTATTACACGTTGGAGTCAGCCACAGAAGTCCTAAAAGCCTGAGGTATTGAAGGTACTGCTTTAATGGATTAAGCTCGGTCATCTGGAGAAGCATGCATGACTTACAAACCTGAGACTAAAATATTTGGTCCACCTAAAGTGGGGAACAGTATTGCTACTGTAAGACAAAAAATTTGCTTCCAAACTACTAGGAAATGTACTAAAGTTCCAGACTTCCTGTCTCATATGGATTGTACAATAGTTGAAAAAAAAAAAAGTCAACTCTGGGGAATGCAAGTAATGATTCAATTGCAAGTATTCATACTTATGCATTACTTGGTATGTGACAAAAAAAAAAACAACCCAGGACTTTTGTAGATGAAGGTTATATAGCAGCAACAGCCCATCTAACCATTCATTAAGTAACACAGATCTGTTGAGGTAAATATGAACACTGTTAAAATTACTCTGAAAATTGGCCCAGTCAGGAGAAAGCAACCATCTGAGATGATTAGTATAATTTGGTCACCTATCCCTAGAACATCCTTTAAGTTAGTGTTAGAGGCTCATGTCTAAAAATGGCATGCTTTGAGACAAGGCTGGGAGTGAAAGTAGGGTTATTATTCACCTAAGATGGAATAAATTACTTTGTTTTCCACACCACTGAAAATGTGATAAATGAAAATCTGTAGTTTTTACTAGAATCAAAAATCTTTAAAGCTCTATCTTGCTTATATGAAGTGACTATTTAGGAATGAGTAGGTCTGCCCTAGGTACCAAAATATTACCTATTCTTCAGATTCTTAAATTGGCATAACTGTATCACAGGAACAAGCCAGGAAGCTATAAGCCTTGAAGGCATTCAACTACTAGCAACCAACAACTGCATAATCTAAACTATTCTCATTTGGTTTGCCTGGAATTAAACTTATTCAGTGACACTCAACACAGATGGCTGTGTTCTTCCTGCAGAGAAATGAGTCTTCATTCTCTACGTCAAGACTCAGTCTGTGTTAATTAGTCTGTGCTGACTTCTCCTGAAGTGTAGACTTGTCTACCTCAGCCTTTTATTTGGTGACATTCTCATGGCTTGGCATGCTTAGTCTTCTCTTTCAGTTTGGAGAATTTATTTTCATACTTATTTATTTCTTTGTGGATCCTTAAATGGGTGGTTTTGTCTTTGGTAGTCTAACCTCTGAAAGCAGGACCACTTTCTTTGCAGCACTGTTGCCCTTGCTGGCAATGAAACTGTGTACATATATATGTATATACAAAAACATTGTATACTAATGCAGTATCCACTGTTGTGTTTGGGTTTTTTTAAGCTAGGTTCTCTGCACTGGAAAAGAAGCCGGTCTGGCATTGTTTGAAGGCATTTGAGGGGTGAAGTTTGTAAGTCTTTTTTTCACTGGAACTTCCACCAGAGTAGCAGTGTTTAAAATGCCTTCACAGTCATTGCCAAAGTATTTTGACATGCAGTTGTTATCTTCTGATACAGTTGCAGAAAAAAATTGCCACTTGCCCCAGGGTCAGTAGCTGTGGCAGAGATAAATTGCCTAGGTAGTGTGCTCAATCTTTCTTTTGTCATCACTAGAGAAATATGATTTTAAAAAAACCCTAGTTTCTATTGAGTTTTGTGTAACAAATAAGATCATCTGAACTGCGCCTTTTCTAACAGAAGGTAGTTTGTGTTCCCCAGGATGGCTTTGCTTCCTTGGTGTCTGCGGTCAGAGTGAAAGAAAAATGTAGGGAATTGCACTAATAAAAAGCAGTCTTCCAGACGGAGGCACTTCTTTTCAACATCAGTGTAGAACTGGAAGGGTTGTTCTGATTTGACAGTGCAGGGAATGCCCATATATAACCTTCTTGATACCTGTTTTGCTCTTAAGAAGAGAGAACCTTTGTTGCTGCATTTCTTAATTGGAAGGTTGAGCCACAGCCCCAGTAGTCAAACTGTAATGAGCCTCCATGTGCTGCTTTAAATATGTACATGATTCTTGTATTAAACGTTCTTTAAGCTGAGTAGCTCTCTTCCTTTTTCTTTTCTTGTATGTATACATGTTTTACAGTGGCCATATGTTCTTCCTGTCTGTCTCATCAGAATAAGCCAGACTTCAGTAGGACAGGTGGAAACTTGTGTAGCCACTCTGTATCTTGTGCAGTTCCAATTTCCTTTTAATGTAGATGTCCAGAACTGCTGCTTGAAGTGAAGCGTGATCTGCAACTTGATCGGAATTTTATCCTATTTCTGTCA